GAAGCTGATGTTTGGTTTGGAAATTGTATGTGAATTATTTCATTAAATTTGCTCACTTTATTATTTGAATAATATCTTCCAGAAAGTGCACGAATCATAAGACCACTAAACATAACTGTATCCTTGAAATACCATATTTCATATTGATATCATGGGTTGGGCAGATCAACAACTCAACACAAATTTCTATCATCATCTTACCTGGATAAAAAATTGTCACTTATGTTAACACTTATAAGAACAAACGCTGAAAGTCGAGAATGATCTATAACAGGTATTCGGACTGTAGTAATTCATTCATTCCTAAAATTTTCAATTTTTTTATCATTTAGAAAAAAAGTCAACATACATGAAATATGGTGATGACTGATGACATAAGTGACAAGTGTCATGGTGTCAACACAGGTTGCGTTTTATTTGTTCCATTCTGGTAGCGGTGGTGGGAACAGAATGACGTTTACAAATAAAACGAGAAACTTCATAACCTTGCTTGAGAGAATTTACAAATGAGGTTATATTTATGTATGGGAGATCCAAATAATTTCAAAAGCATAATACTAGAGTTAAGAATTTAGAAAATGAATCAACTAATATTTGGAGCAGTGAAGGTGGTGATTGAAGAAACTTCTATGAGATCAACAGAGTTTATTTTATCTGGGAATGAACATATGAAACCTGTCTCACTTCAAAGAATCATGAACTAGTGAAACTCACGCTGAAAATGTCTTCTAACTGTTTTTTACTTTTAAAAAGGTTCGTTTTTCGTCAATATAATTTGATTTTTTGACAACTGTCAACAGTCATTCCACATCATTTCTTGTAGTGAGACGGAATGGAAAGTAGCAACCGGAATCGGAAGAGTTGCAAATAAAACGACAAATCAAACTGATTCCGGTGGCGGAATCTGATAAATAAAACGCAACTACTGTCAACACAGACGCATGTCAAAATTGTCATTATTTGTCAACATTCGTGATGGCGCGCTCACATGACAGCGCGGAAAGCTTGAATAAAACGAGCGCTCCATGAACTTCTGGCAAAAGCGACAGTCGAGGAGACAAATTGCAAATTTGGAAATCAAAAATCAAAATATTCAACAAAAAAATAGAATTATCATTGTTCATGGAATTTCGGGAATATATCCGTTTCGAATAACGTTTTTCACATATTTGAGTAAATTCATCATCTACAATAATTGAACTTCAATCAATAAATAACTAATTGAAATTACATGAAAAAACAATATATTAGTGAGCTACGCTGTCAAACACGAGCGAGATCTTGAGTCTAAGAGCGAGATTTTGTTGTTGATGAAATGATTGAATATTGACTATTCTAGAACATGTGATTTTGACATGGTTTCTTGAGAGGCACACAAACTCTCTGTTAGGTTACCTTTGATGAGCATAGCCCTGGCCATCCCTGCCATATCCATAATATAATAACAGTTTCACTAAACAAAATAATAGAATTCTCTCTGGTTTCAACTCGGATTTCAAGGAAAACGATGACACTCTGGTTTCATATGACAAATCATGGAAAAATACAATGTTTGCCCCTCAGCAACTTGTCGAATGAAGTAATTCTGGAATGATTGATTAACTCGGAACACATTTCTATGTAGGTACGAAAATGAATATTTGAATGAAAATTTAATTTTTTCTTACGTATTTTATATTTTTTGAGAATTGATCCATCCATCAGAGCATAGCTCAACTCTTTATCGAATTATTCATGACAAAGCATGATCAACTGATCGAAGAGTTACGTTACAAGAGTTGATCCCTTGTTGAGTTAACAAAGAGAATCATGCAACCGACCCTAAGCATCCTAATTATGATCTTTGAAGGGACCTTAGTTTCCAATAAGGCTATCCGGTCGAATGTTTAGTTTGTAGAATGATGAAAATAATCACAACTAATGCGCTTTTATTTCAGAAATTCTTCTCGGCCTCTCGAGAACAATGGTTTCGGCGATCTTCTTTACACCTCAACAGCTTCTCATGATCTACAAAGCGCAGATACGGCCTGTTCTAGAATACTGTTCGCACATATGGGGTTCAGCACCAAAACATACGCTGATGCTCTCAGATGCCATCCAGAGAAGAGCCATCCTCCTGGTGGGTGACGCCACACTCACTCACTCTTTGACATCATTGGAACACCGTAGAGAGGGAGGCGACCTTTCACTTTTCTATCGTTACTTCCACGGGAAATGTTCTTCGGAAATCTCTGCTATCATCCCTTCACTAGCAATACCAATCAGACGAACTAGACAAGCCCATCAGTCAGCACACCCTTTCGTTGTCAACCTCGAAAGATGTCGAACAGCACTTTATCAAGACTCCTTCATCCATAGAACGGCTAGGCTCTGGAATTCATTGCCTGTGGAAGTATTTCCAACAACATATGATCTCCAAAAGTTCGAAAAAAATTCCAATACCTACCTCCAGTCCCTATCTTTCCTAGGAACGCACGATGTTCCTTGAACATTATAGGGATTCTCTTTCGTGCGCTCCAATCGATAAAAAAAAAGATGGTGACATTACACAGCTATATGCCATCTGTCAATTTTGAAATTGTCGCAGCTTTTCCGAATTTTGAGTGAAATAAACCCACTTTCACATATGTTTCGCGTACCTAAATTGCTAATTGCCATTTTATTTCACTCGTCCGACTCGTCCGACTCGTCACAGCATCAATTCGCGATAGAAAATAACACGTCGCCCCCACCTGACGGCAGCAACTTGCAACTTGAACACTTCTGAGCGGTTTGTTTTGATGATATGACCAATAAGCACAAACAAGAAACAAATGTGAACCAATGAAAACAAAGTAGACATGCCGCTTTTACAGCTCTCAAGAACTTCGATAGGTGGCGTACGCTTATTTTCTATCGCGAATAGCAGCATCACAATCTAGCGAAAAAAAGTCCCACCCGATGTGACGTAGAGGAATCAAATTGAGCGGTCGAATGATTTTTCTTAAGTTTTCAATGCGTAAAAACGGCCGAGTACGCGCACTATCTACTTATTTCCATCATTCTTTGTAGAAACATCAAATTTATCACTTGTATTAAGGCCATCTATGCTAATATGGCTGAGCTTTGAAAAAATATAAACTCTGTTATTTCAATATGTGTGACCTACTAGCTGAGGTGAAAACGAGCGAGATTTGACAAGGAGGAGCGAGAGAGTGAACTACTGACAAAACGAGCGAGATCCCGCTCAATCAAATGCTGTGGCAGATGATTATGATTTTCATTTAGAACATATATGTGATGTTGTCATTACTAACGTCATTGAAGGTTGGGAAGTGTCATATAACACACCTCTACTTCCCGCCCTTACTTCCCGCCCTCACTACTTCTCGCCCTCACTTCCCGCCCTCACTCATGTAATAATTCAGGTATGTACAGAACGAAACATAGATTTATTAATTTCGATCGAAATATGATGGTTTTAAATAAAATAGTATAAAAACCTCGGAAGGAAGTTTCATTCCTGTCTCAAAATTATATATAGCTAACCTCGACGCTTTGCGTCTCGGTTAACTAACTAATCTCACGACAAGAATGAATCACTTCCCACCTCGGTGTGTAATATACTATCGTGGTTCACCAATTTATATACAATGAACTCAATAGGTGTTTATATTTTTAGAGTTCATTGTTTATATACCTATCATATAGCGAATGAGATTTTATAGGAAAATGTATATTCATTTTGCCCTTGTTTTTTTTTCAAATCTGAATAAATGGAGTTTTTTACTACGATTTTTCATCTGAATTAGATTAGATTTGGAATGGGGCCTTCGGGCTATCTGCCTCCACACTGCGACCTTTTCAGATCTATTGTGTCTGCCCTCAAAATCGATTAGAGTTATTCGGCTATCCCCGCCTTCTCTATGAAACTCCATAGGCTAGCTTTCAGATCTCCTGTGTATCTCTGGGCTCCTGGTTTTTCCTCACCCAGCGTAAGGAACCTTAGTCTTGACAAGCCCTCACAGTGGCAAAGTATGTGTACTGCTGTTTCTTCCTCTTATCGACAGAACCTGCATAGCAGTTCTTCAGTCAGACCTATCGTACTCATGTGTTTGTTGAGCCTTCAATGCCCTGTGAGAAGTCCCACTAGTATTCTAGTTGAACTTCGTTTCTGGCTTAGTAGATATTCTATAAACCCTTTAGCCTGTCTCATTCCTGGCGAGTTGTTCCACCATTCTTGAGATTTGGTTTGCATCCATGATTTGATACTAGTCTTTTGTATAGCTTTCGCAATACCACAGAAGGGTTCTGGGCCATTAAGAGCTTTGTTTGCTCCTGCTCCGGCAAGTGAGTCTGCCTCTTCATTGCCCTCGTACCCTGTATATGTGCTACCATGCTAGAGTCAATCTGTTCAGTGCATTTAGGGTTTCTAAGCAGTCCCATACTAGTTTTGTGTTAACTTGCATAGAGTTTACTGCTTTGATTGCCGCCTGGCTATCTGAATAGATTGCAATGGTTTTGCCTTTAAACTCTTGCCTTATCAATTCTTTCACGCAATGATGTATTGCAATAATTTCTGCCTGAAACACCGTCGCGTATTTGCCTAAGCTCAGTGAGATTCTTGTCTTTGGCTTGGCCCCATAAATACCAGCTTCTGATCCTTCATCAGTTTTGGAGCCGTCCGTATAGACAGCAATGTCTGCATTGATAGGAGGTCCTTCCTTCCATGCTTCTCTGTCCGTTATACTTATTTTAAAAGTTTTTTCAAAGCTATATTTTGGATTATGCCATCCGTTTTATCTGATGTTATAAACTAACTGAAATTGAAGAAATATGATCCAAAATGTCGCTAAATTACAGAGAAAAGTTGCTAATTTACAAAAATTTCGCCTGCGCGGCTTTCTGCTCGCTACGCTCCAAGGTTGGTAGAACTGATTATAATCATCAGTTCTACCAACCTTGGCTACGCTTGCTATGTGGCGACGTCTAGCGGTTTTTTTCTTGAATTTTTGTGACATTTCATGTTCTTGAAATGAAATTCAAACAGGAAATACAATGTCTGAAACGTTTAATGTACTATATGAAAATTATGTGAATCAAAAAAATTCAGACATAATTTTAGCATTTAAAGACGGCCAAATAAAAGCTCATCGATTGATTCTATCTCTAAGCAGCCCCAGATTTGAAAACATTCTGAGGAATTATGAACCTTGCCAAAAATATCTATTTTTTGATCACACATCCAAAGACATAATGACTTACTTACTAGAATTCATGTATAAAGGTGAAGTAGCTATTCCAGAAAAAATACTGGCCAGAGTTTTGGAAGCAGCAGAAAATTTTCAAGTGAAAGGAATGCAAGAGGCATGCATTGTGGTAAGTTATATCAACTCTTTGAAAGCTCCTTAAATGATGTCTAATAAAACCCTGTTTCTTCAATAAAAATCTAGGTAGATCCTAGTCCCTCAAAAATATTTTCACACATACTTTAATTAATAGCCTAGCTCCTAGCCTAGTTAAGTCTTCCCTATTTACCAGTAATCAGATTAATCCATGTAAAGGCTACTAGCTCTCCTGCTCTCATATCTTCCTAGAGATCCTGCTGAAACATATTCTTTTTCTAATTTTTTTAATATTACATGTGAGAAAGTCCTATAAATCTAGCAGGACCATTTCAATATTTCAGTTTTGCACCAGTGCTTTAATTTGCTATTAGTAATTATTTATCACCATATTCTGAATTCATTACCCTTCATTTAATAGAAATAACCAATGTCATTAACATTATTTCCTTATCTGATATCACAATGACTTCATTGACTCCAGCTCTGTCTAATAGATGAGCATTGCTTAACAGGAAATCAGATGGCTACAAGACAAGAAATCGCAAATGAGATAGATAGATAGATAGATATTTTGCTACTATTTTATAGCCAACTTTTACTCACGAATTTTGTACTCATCATTCAATGGAAAATATAACATGGAATTGTCATCTGGATCTCAACATAACAGAACCAAAACTCAAAGCACATGCTTCTTGAAATTCTATCAAGTCCACAATAAGTTAATTTATTACCAGATTTGCAAATTTAAGGCCCTGTGTTTGAAAGAAGAAACCAATGGCTCTGTTAACTTCATGGCAACCTATCAGAACCATGGGTAAAATTCATATTTTTGAAAACCACAAATTATAATACCATAATTTATTATAATTACATTAATAACTTGTATAGAATTTTTTACTCACCATTCACTGAAAAAAAAACGCCGATTTGTTTATCTTGATCTCAACCTAGCAGAATCAATTCAAATCAGATGCTTTTTGAAACTCTATTGTGCTAAGTAAGTAACTGATTCATTACTAATTTATCACCACATTTGCAACTTTATAACCCTTCATTTAACAGAAAAAACCAAGGGCTCTGTTGGCTTTATGTGAACCTAGCAGAACAATAGCTAAAAGTTATTTTCTTGGAAAACCTCATCTAATTTATTACCATTTTATTACCAACTTATAACTACTATACTCACGAACTTTGTACTCATCACACAGAACCAAAACTCAAAGCACATGCTTTTTGAAATTCTATTGAGTCCTCAATAAGTCACTAATTCATTTCTAATTCATTACCACCTTTGCAAATTCAAGACCATTTGTTTGAAAGACAACCAACAGCTCTGTCAATTTTATGTCAACCTAGCAGAACCATAGGTGAAAATTCATTTTTTTGAAGCCCACAAATTATTATACCCTACTTTATTATTATTTCATTACTAACTTATAACTATAATCTAACATTTTCCACTCAATCATTTTATAGAAAAAAACGCCGATTTGTCTATCTCGATCTCAACATAGCAGAACCAACGGCTCTGTTGGCTTTATGTCAACCTAGCAGAACCATAGCTAAAAATTAATATTGTTGAAAACTTCAATTATACTATAATTTATTATTAATTTATTACCACATGTGCAAATTTATAACCCTTCATTCCACAAAAAAATCAACGGCTTTGCTAGCTTTGTCAACTCAGCAGAACTATAGCATTGAATTTAGTTTTTTAAAACTTTGAATATACCATAATTTTATATTTGCTTTTGGGTGTATGATAAATTGACATTCATCATACAAGGCGTGGAAAGAAATTCTGAATTGAGACTCTATCATGAATCTGCGATTAGAGGTCTATAAAAATCACAAGTTTCCATCATTCAAGTTTGAACCCCCTGATTGGGTATGAAAGTGTTGAAAAGGAATATTCTCAGATAAATTATGAACATACAAAAATGGATAGATATTTATATGAAGCAATACATTGAGAATTCACATTCTCTATGTGATGAGAATATCTACTCTTTTTCAGTTTATTCAATATGCCACGACGAACATTGAATTATATCTATTGAACACACACGATAAGAGTTTGATAATAAAATATAAAAACTTCAGAAATTGAGAATTTGCATTCTCCTTCAGACAAATATATGTATATGCAATTCTGAATATTCAACAGAAAACAACTACTTTCCTGGCTATTTGCCACGTCGAACATTGAATTATATCTGATGAACATTCAAAAGGAGAACATGAAAAATAAAAAATAAAATCCTCCGAAATTGAGAATTGACATTCTTCTTCAAATCGGATGAATAATATGATGTATAATGATATAGAAATATAACTTACCAACTCACTTACCAATATATTCATACCAATGAAGGTAGCAAAGCCACTTTCGAATTTAAACATGAGACACATCGCATAATTTTAGGCTCATTTTAGGCTAATTTATTACCCCATTCCCGAATGTTTTGCTCCTCCCTATCATAGAAAAATCTGTGGCTTTGCTAGCTTCCGCCGAACTCAGCAAAGCCATTTTTGAAAAACAATATGTTTTGAATATCTGATATAGTGAGAATGTAGTGCTCATTTTAGGCTAATTTATTACCCTATTCCCAATTTTCTTGCTCCTCTCTATCATAGAAAAATTTGTGGCTTTGCTAGCTTCGGCCGAACTCAGCAGAGCCATTTTTGAAAACATAGATTTTTCACCGATTTGATATATTGAGATTAAAGGGCTAATTTAAGGCTAATTAATTACCCAATTTTCGTATTTTTTGCTCAACGTTTCAAACAGAAAAACTACAAGACAATTTGTCGAAATATGCGTCATTTACTTTACATTATGTTTTTCTATCAAAAGCATATTTTATGACGATTTCATGAGGCAAAGTGTTCTTATTGGTTGTAAGCTTGATAACTATCACATTTTGGAATGTTTTGCTACATATTTTTTAAAAGAAACCTGTGGCTTTGCTGGCTTTGGGCGAACTCAGCAGAGCCATTTTTTGAAATAATATATTTTTCACTGATTTGATATATCCATATTGAAGAGCTAAATTACGGCTAATGATAATTTTTCAATGAACTTAGAATTATTTCGCGTCATGACGTACTAATTTTTTTGATTTTCGTGATACGGTGTTCGGACTTTCTCCATGTGGTAGGCCCTTGCGAAAGTCGACAGAGGTGTTGGGGTATTTTTCGATTTAGATTTTCGATATTTTGTGCCGTTCTCGAGATATTTGGGAAAATATGAATATCGGGACTTGAAAAAATTTCATGAAAAATAATACTTTTCCAATTTTTTTTTTTGTAAAGAAGCCATTTTGAGTAGCAATATATAGAGACTTTATTTGTTGGTCGTCTCGATTTCTATCGAATTTCGGGCGAGAAACATACACTTGTCATTCACTTTTTTTTCAATGAACTTAGAACTATTTCGCGTCATGACGTCGTACTAATTTTTTTGATTTTCGTGATACGCTGTTCGGACTTTCTCCATGTGGTAGGCTGTTGCGAAAGTCTACAAGGGTGTTGGGGTATTTTTCGATTCAGATATTTCGATATTTTGTGCCGTTCTCGAGATATTTGGGAAAATATGAATATCGGGACTTAAAAAAATTTCATGAAAAATAATACTTTTCCAATTTTTTTTTTCTAGTAAAGTGGCCATTTTGAGTAGCAATGTATAGAGACTTTTTTGTTGGTCGTCTTGATTTCTATCGAATTTCGTGCGAACAACACACTTGTCATTCACCTTTTTTTTTTTTTTCAATGAACTTAGAATTATTTCGCGTCATGACGTACTAATTTTTTTGTTTTTCGTGATACGGTGTTCGGACTTTCTCCATGTGTTAGGCCGTTGTGAAAGTCGACAGGGGTGTTGGAGTATTTTTTGATTTAGATTTTCGATATTTTGTGCCGTTCTCGAGATATTTGGGAAAATATGAATATCGGGACTTAAAAAAATTTCCTGAAAAATAATACTTTTCAAATTTTTTTTTTCTAGTAAAGTGGCCATTTTGAGTAGCAATGTATAGAGACTTTTTTGTTTGTCGTCTTGATTTCTATCGAATTTCGTGCGAACAACACACTTGTCATTCACCTTTTTTTTTTTTTTTCAATGAACTTGAAATTATTTCGCGTCATGACGTACTAATTTTTTTGTTTTTCGTCATACGGTGTTCGGACTTTCTCCATGTGTTAGGCCGTTGTGAAAGTCGACAGGGGTGTTGAAGTATTTTTTGATTTAGATTTTCGATATTTTGTGCCGTTTTCGAGATATTTGGGAAAATATGAATATCGGGACTTATAAAATTTCATTAAAAATAATACTTTTCCAATTTTTTTTTTCTAGTGAAGAGGCCATTTTGAGTAGCAATGTAAAGGGACTTTTTTGTTGGTCGTCTTGATTTCTATCGAATTTCGTGCGAAAAACAGTCACTTGCCATTCACCTTTTTTTAGTTTTCAAAGAACTTAGAATTATTTTGCGTCATGACGTCGTACTAATTTGTTTTGTTTTTTGTGATGCGGTCATACTTAAAAAAAATTCAGCATAATAATACGTTTCAAATTTTTTTTTTCAGTAATGAGGCAATTTTGAGCAATAATGTAGGTGTACTTTTTTTGTTTGTCGTTTTGCTGCCTATCGAATTCCACATGAAAACATACTCTCGTCGCTCATTTTTTTTTTCAATGAACTAAGCCTAAGATGGCCAGTGTTGTAAGGATATTTTTGGATCTAGATTTTTTGGTATTGAGGCGATTTCGATTTCTTTCGGACTTTGTACGAAAAATATACACTTGTGAATCATTTTTTTCAATGAACTGAATTATTTCGCGTCCTATCATAATAATGTTTTTTGTATTGAATATACATTTTTTGTGGTAACTGGCGATGTGAGGGGTGATTATTTGTCAGGGCACTCAAATTTGAAATTGATGTAATTTCGAACTGCGTGTGTGGATAGTGGAAATTGTTAACGAAATCATGAATAAATGTGGATATTTTGGACATATTGGTATTC